AGCAATCAAAGGATTACTAATATCGTTAACTTCTGTAGAAACTGGCATATTCAGAAAATCTTTTAGAGTTTTTTCTTGTTGAATTAGAATGTTGTTTAATAGCATCAAACAATGATTCTCAATATCCTCATCAGTCAATTGAAGATTCAGATTCCACGTTTGCTGTCACACCTAATATAATATATCATCACTAAGAGCAGACTTGTATTTTTCTCAAACACGTTTGGGGTCAGTAGGCTGGCAATTTACCAAAATTGTGGCAAATAAAAGATGTAGTTGCTGTCTAGTTTTTAAGTTTGCAGCTTCGGCAAGACAGTGATCCTATTCGAAGTTGTCTTGAAGTAGATTCATCACCTGGTATGCATCTTTGAATGTTGGATATTCGACTCTATTTACAGTACGAAGATGTTTGAATAATTGTGCTCCATGTATTACATTTAGGAGCATATGTAGTCACCTGCACCTGGGTGTACAAAATACATACGATCAATAGCATCTAAACATTTATATAATTTCGATTTCTTTGACCATTTATCAAAAACAAACATACGTGAAAATTGTGCATAAGTATATTCTTTTGCAAAATCTGCAAGAGAAGGGTTCCGATTGACTTGAAACCATGCAGTCAACATAGTTTGCTGATTAATTGATCTGTGAACAATATATTTTAATGATTCATCTTCAAAAAATGTTACCAAATACTGGTTAGGTAAGTGTATACTCAAACGAATAACATCTGGTGCTTCGCCATGCATTTTACAGTACATAATACACCAGAAAGCCTCTGAAGCTGATATGTAATGGGTATCAATATATTGCCTTATTTTATCATTTAGTTCAGATGTGCTTGAGTTAGAAACACCTCTGTCACTATTGCTAATAACTATTGTTGCACGATTGTGTCCTTTGTAAACATATTTAAAAAGATATTTTACTGCCTGAATAGAAAAACAAATTTTGATGTTTATATAGCAGTTATACTTCTTGCAAAGATAAAGATTATAGGGTACAACCCAGCGGTTATCAAGTTTATCCCCTTTCAAAATTATTGTGCACCTATTATTACGATGTCGATAAATAGGATATCTATTCTTGTTCGCACAGGACACAGGCTGGAATGGTTTAGAATACCCTTTCAAACATCTTCTATCTTTCATGCATAGTACACACATATTTAATTTCCCACAGAGCCCATGCATCATACATTTAATAACAGTTGCATATTTATCAGATATGTACTTGGATCAGGTATCTCTGCAGAAACAATGAGATCGTAATCATCTAACATACGAAGCTTGTCTTCATCAGCTAACATAAACAATATATGTGCATGTAAAAGCCCACGCATTTGAGCCTCAATAATATAAATATGTGCTATTACTTTGGAAAAATTCCTTTTTTAATGATATCATCAAGTAAAGAATTTAATTTTATCTGAAACACATATGCGCAAAGATCAGGATGGTCTTGTGCATTTTGTCCAGGCAATAGAGCCCTCTGAATCTCAATCCAGTTTGCATTACATGTCATTGTTATAAATAGATCTGGCTTTCCCACTTGTCCGATAATGGTTATGGCATCTTGATAAAGCTGATGCATATAGCATGGTCTTCCAACAAAGTTTGATGGAAGTACAATACGTCAACCAACTCGATTGCAGTTTGTTGGAATCTTATCTGTATTATTAAGCGCATCTTGTAAACCATTATACAATTCTGCTCTAAGTTGTTTTTAATTTACTCTAATATAGTTAAGTCAATTTTGTTTAATACAGACATAGCAATCAACAATGTATTATTGGAACAAACAGCCAGATCTATGCAAAGAAAATGATTGTAAAAGTCTATAACCACACACTTGTAAATGATATACATAGTACTGCATCATTGTTATGCAGCATGAATTCACTTCTTCAACTTCTTCAGAATTGTTTAAATTCTCTACATTGCCATTTACTTGTCCATGAAATTCGTTTTGTAAAGGGATATTAGGATGCCATTATGGCTCACCGTTTGGAAAAAGTAGCACATAATATAATGGGTTATAAGAGGAGTGAAGCTGCAAAATTTGCTGTAAACCTCATTCAATCTTATATAGAATTATATTACGATTCAAAGGTTCAGACTTCTGACTGTTTCCGACCATGAGTACTGCGACTTTTGATACGGTCGGTGTTGTATATTGGCGATCTTTACAGGCTTTAATGATTAATATTTTTAATTCTTGTGCAGGATTTTCAAGCAGTAGCTGCGCAGCTTGACGAAAAACATGCACATATGGATTTAATTCATAAAGCATTTATTGAATTTCTGCAAGTGTTAAATGATCCAAATTTGGCATATGATGATGTTGATGTAATAGTTGCTTATCTGTATAGTACATATAGATTTGACAAAATTTTGGATTATTGCGTTTTACTGGTAAAAGCGTACCAATTTAATGATACATCTCTTCATGGATTCGAAAAGAGTATACGCCACTTGTTCCAGTCACTCAATTATCAATACTTGTATCCATGAAAGTAAATGCAAGAGCAGAATTGTACATGCGAATTTTTGTTTGAAAATCTCAAGCATGTGCATTGTTATCAGTTAACAGAGCCTTCAAAACTAAAAGAGTAGAAGCTAGTAGTAGTAAACGCACCTTTCTTTTTGCGCAACAGGTGCTAAATACAGCTTTTTGTATTGTTCCAGAAATATGCTCATTTTTCTAGTATAATGCACTACAATACATACATTCAATGTCCATTTCGTCAAGGTTATGCAGTGCTACAATACTACTGTCATAAAGTTTTATACAGGCATTCTTAGAGGTATGACAATTGATTTTTCGTCTCTTTGCTCTTTGTTCTTCTGCATGCTCTGCAGTTTCAGTTGCTATTCGAAGTTAATAAGTTTTTCGATTTTGTGTATATTGTTGTGCAATTTGATGATTGCTTTACGTTAAGCATATGCTTATCTTTGGAGCTGTCTTTTACGTTCATATGCATTTTCTAAATTACTGTCAGCAAGAAGAGTAGCATCTTGTATCATCTTTTTAGCATAGCATTCTCTAGCTAAGTAGTTGCGAGGACTACTGGTGTTTCGAAAGTTGAGCATGATAAATCAGTTGAAGCATTTTCACTTATTTCAAATAACATATTATCGCTTATTACTACTGCATTCAAACTGACTTTTTGTAATATATTTTTAACACAGCGCTCTCTATCTAAGGGGTTGCAAAGCTCTTTTTGTGTTTTAGAAGTTGTATACACTGAATAAGTTGGTGAATTTTTAGTTCTACTGTAGTCAATTCGACTTCAAATAATATATTAACATTTGTTTCTGTTTCATTAAACTTGAAGGACATATCATTAGATTTTATTTCAGACATTTCAAATAATGTGAAAAAAAACTATATGAGTATGCGATAGGATATGCAAAATATGTGTTGTGAATTGGAGGTAGAAAAGAAAAGCATGTGTACAGGAATCTATTTTATATGTTTGAGAAAAACGAATTTGATGCACATTTTAGGATCGTGTATACTATAGACAAAGTGCAAACAATAATTTGCATGAAAAAAACTGTCAGGGTTTGTAGATCATTTTCTAAATTAATCAATAACTAACTTTAATGGGTTTTTAAAGCTAGGTCAAAAAAAGTTACATTTTTGATGTTTTAAGAGTTACCTTTTTGATATAGTTAAGGATAGTAAGTTATTTATATATCAAGAATACAATTTATGCAGTATGTAGATCATTATATG